GAAGGAAAATCTCTTGTGTAGCCATAAGACTGAAGTTACCAAAAAACCACATGCAAGCTCCCAGCTTAAAATCTTCTGAACTACAAAGCAAGTTTAACCTTTAGTCTAGGTGGGTGTCTGCAGTTAAAGTGAGAGCATTCATTGGAAAAGAACTGGTGCCTATAAATTGGAACAGAGACATGTGGGAGGTCCCTGATGAAGCTGGAGACATGATTTCCTAAATTCTGATACGTTTATATTGCTAGAGGAAGTGGATTGAATACCCCTAGTAGCACTGGCACCTACAACCTTATGTCCTGAGGTATGCTTCTCCACCTCTACCTGAAAGATCTGATCCCACATTGCTTGAGGAAACAGCAATGGCCTACCCTGAGCAAACGCCAAGAAAACAATGGGGATTCTTCTTAGTACCCAATCCTACTACCTATTTTTTGCCTCTAGATTTATAACCTGGCTCAAGTCTTAGTAGGCTCCTAGAGATGAGGTGCCCAGTGTGACCTATGAGGAGGTGCACTATGCTCAAAATGAACTGAGTTTCCTAGTTTATACAGAGGTCTGAGAAATATGTATGGGAACGGATTTTAACAGTGTGGGATAATGACTGAATAAATATAAAGTTGGATCAGGTTGGTTTTATTGACATGGGCCCATTAAGCATTGTTTCTACATCGAATATTGTAGCTCACATAATTAAAAAGTGTCTTGTTAGTTTATTTGGTTGGCTGAAGTGTGGATCAAAAGATGCCCAACTGTGAATGAACAGGAGAGGTCTGGTATCCCTGGCTTTATTGTTGATGAAGGGATTCAAAGGCTTTGGGAGATCTGAATGCTGGATGGATTTGCAACATAACACCCTTTCCCTTACCTCCAAGGGAAAGTTCAAAAGAAGTATCTTTCAGCAATACTTCAAAAAACAGATTTGCATAGAGGAGTACCAGTGTCAATGAGAAAGAAAGCCAAGGAGGATTTGAGAGATCAGATGCTCAATTCACAAAGTAGGAAGGTAAGGGGACAAGAGTATGGCTCAAGTGTAGAATGCCTGCCTAGCAAGCATGAGGCCCTCAATGCACCTCCTAGTATCCCATTAATTAAAAAAGAAGTAGGAGCCAGGCATCAGTGGCTCACAGTAGCAATCCTAGCTACATGAGAGGCAGAGATAAGGAGGATCAAAGTTCAAAGCCAGCATGGGCAAATAGTTTGTGAGACTGTATCTCAAAAACACCCAACATATTAAAGTTTTGGCAGAGTGGCTCAAGCAGTAGAGCACCTGTCCAGCAATCATGAGATACTGAGTTCAAACCCCAGTACTACAAAAAAAAGTAGGAAATGGGAAATATTTTATTGTTAACTAATACAGAATAAGCAAAAAAATAGTGGGGGAAAAGGCATTCCAAGATCTTGCTGTGTAGATGTTGGAAGATACAACTTTTCCTGGGTGTTTTATACTAGTTAAAGAAAGTTGGAATTTAACATCAAATTTTCTCAAGATAAGCACATTATTTATGCTAGCTCCTGGTAGTATTGAAATCATTTTGCTATTTTAATATCTTAAGTTTTAATGTGATCATTCAAGAATGGAGATATTGGGTCTAAGAGTATTACTAATTAAAAGGTCTTGAGACATGGGTTCCTCTTTCTTGTAACTTTCATTGGCTCTCTTTTGATCAACAGACTTGTTGTGCCAGGCATTTTGTTCTTGGAACATTATTCATCTGGGGCAAGGTCAGGGAAACTATCTCTATTATATATTCTACTTAATTAGGACAATGGGTTGTGTGGAGAAAAGAAATGTGTCCTTTCTTTATTTTATATAATGTTTAAACTTGAATTCTTTCTTAGCAACTCTACTTTATTTGTATCTTCTGTTTGGGAATATAAGTTAGATTTCCAGTGACCAAGTCTCCTTAATTGACATTGATACTACATATTTGCGGGTCTGTCACATGCTTTTCTTTTAGAAGACATTTATTTGGGACAATGAAAAACTATATTTAGGATACATCTATTCCCATTTAATGAGGTCTCCTTGTAATTCAAGGATCAGTTTTGCCAGATGCTTTTCTTGAGCCATTATTCAGAATGTGCTCACTCAGAGCTCTGGGCAAATCACTAATAAAAAGTTAAAAGAATGGTTAGTTATTATAGCCCAGTGTGGACTGAGAGATTTCAAATTACCTATTAATAGAATGCTTATTATTCCTAGCTCCTCACTCTTAGGACATTTTCAAATTTTCCTGTGTCCTGAATTTGAACTTGCTTTTGTTCTCATACCACCTGTCCCTATGTTATCTTTCCTCCTCAGCATTCCTGAAGACTTCTGTCACTGCTCCATGTGTGCCAGGCAGTGCAGTTTGAATGTCAGTCACTTACCTGGAAAACTTGAATGCCATTGGAATGTTTATCCTGTAGCACTGTATCATGGATGCATGTAACTTGTTCTTTGATTTTTAGTGGGACTCAATACTAAGAGTTTGATGTGCGTCTTACAGGAGACTTTTGGAATTGGTCTTTCAGCAATGCTGAACAGTTAAGACTTTGGGGACTTTTGGATATATTGAGAGATGGACATGAAATTTTGTGGGCCTGATGTGGCCATTATGGTTTGGATGTAAATGTCCCCCAAAAGCCATTTAATAATGGTTTGGTGACAAATCTGTGGCACTATTGAAAAGGGGTGGAAACTTTAGGGAGTGAGACTAAATTAGGTCAATGAGTGTATTCCCTTGAGGTAATGATGGCCCCTTCTTCTCTCTCTGCTTCCCAGCCACCACCAGGTAAACAGTTTTCTTCTGCCATTAAGGACCAAAGTGACAGTGACAAATGATCATGGACTAATACCTCTAAAGCTATTATCCCGTTAAGTCATTTATCTTAGGTATTTTGTCACAGGGTTGGAAAGTTGACTAACACAATCTGGGTTAAAAGATATTTGGACCTGTCCCCATGATTAACCAATGAGAAGAATTACTGAAATAGTGATATTGACCTGGGTTTTATCAAACTTCTTCCCAGTCCTATCTCCTATGATGGAATAATTCTATTTGGAAATGAAGAACTAGCCTCTTTCTTATCATGAAGCTGCCTCATGCTTTGATGGACCAAGTGGGGGAAAATATAAATGAGGAAAAGAACATTTGATTGTACAATGACAGTTTTGCATCTGCACTGATAAAGCACAGGCAACAATTCCATTTCTGGGCATCTTTTCTATGAGAACAGAAGCTGCTGTCTGTGCCTGACTTTTCTAGGGAGGCTGCTTTTAGAAGGTTCCTGAAATTGTGAGAAAAATTACCTGTGAAAGATGGGAGTATGGTTGACATTTTGTTAATCTTCTGGACAGTTTAGGTTTCCTCCTCCAATTTAATATTATGGGTCCTCTTTCAGTCACAACTTCTGTGGGACTACACAGAAATTGTGTTCCTTCTCCAAATTTGATTTTTCTCTATGAGAAAGAGAGATGATGACAACAAAACAGCTCTGATGACCCCTTGCCCTAGTTCTCATTATTTTCGATGTGACTTCAAAGCTATACCAATAAATTGTAGTTATTTCTCCTTCCCTTGATTGGGCTGGCCTTAGGACTTGAATTTGCCATTGGAGTATAGTGAAAGTCATAGTATACCAGTACCCAGCTTGGACCTTAAGTGATCTGGAGCTTCTGTTGTGTATCTTGGGACCTTATTGCCACCTTATTGCCAGTTTAGTTTGCTGAAGGATGAGAGAAACTGTGTAAAGAATACCACCGTTCCATCTCAGCTCACTCAGCCAGCTTCCTTCTCAAATGTTTAAGACTTCTATGCTTATGAGAAATAACACGAGCTTACTAAGTAATACAGTTTTGGACTATTTGTAATGCAGCAAAATAGTCATGATTCCATATAGCATGAACTCAGTGAATCTTAAAGAGTTCACCTTTACATCTAGAGCTAAGTTACATTCTTGTTGTCCTGGAGTGGGAATTAGACTAGAAATATAAAAACTTGTGTCTTAGGCCCTGCTTTACCAATGCATTGGGCAAATGATCTAGGAAATAAACAAATCTGTCCTACTTTAAGTTTGCTAATTAAAAAAAGAAGATAGAAATCCTTTTCCTCTCTAATTATTAATAACTGGGTTGCTGTAGAATTGCATGAGATAATTTGATTGCAAGTGAAATCTGTAATTAAGAGTATGTAACAGCATTCTCAATAGCAACACACCATGAGTGTGGGGCTCATGTTATCCTACAGCTAATACAGATGAGAGAACTTTTTAAATGGGGATGGGAGAATGCAGTACATATGGGGCAGAGGCTTTTGCAATATGAAGAAAAGGTATCCATCTAGGCATAATTTGGCTTAGATCTTCTTCCTTTTAATGGTATGGATTTCTATTAAGATTCCTGCCATCACAAATGCAGCAGACATTAGGTGAAGTATTTTTATGGGATGCTTGCAAAGATGTACTTCTAGAATTTCAGCACTTCACAGATATCATGCAAGAACCAAGAAATAAAAGCGTTATAGAAATTGAAATAGATAGCTGAAACTTTGTGCTATAATACAAAACTTGAAACAATCATAAACACAAGAATGGAATGAGTTTCTAAAGCTTATAATTACTTTATTTTGGGGAGATGGTTTTAAGAAGAACACAAGCTTTATTTTTGATAAATCTGGTTGCTATGAAGTCCTCGTTGTGCCACATGTGTTTTATAATTTACATTCCACATTTGACTAGTTTCGGTTTCTTTAACTCTAAACTGGTGATAGTAATTTGAACCATGTGTGGTTACAAGGGAACATATTCTCCAAGAGGGGAGCTTTGTTTTGTTTTCTATTTCATTTATCATATCAGATCATGAGGACTGAATGCTTGGCATATAATATATGCTCAGTAAATATTTATAGAATTAAGGAATGGAGAAACTATTAGCGACAATCTGTGCAACATACCCAACTTAGTGCCTGGTACCCACAGAATTTTTGTTATCGAGTTTGCAATGTTATAAGTAACAATACCCTTTTGCAACTGCTGGCTTGGAAACACAAAGGTGTTTTCACTATATCCATTCTTCAACCTTTCAAGTTTCAAGCCATTTATGTGTATTAACTCTACATTAAAAAGGAAGTTAAAATTAGAAAACACAAAAAGACCTCTTCATAGGGCAGAATTTAGTCTAGTTAAGGTAGTGGCAATTAGAGTCAATTTGAAAGCCCTAATGGCAGACCCTTCTCTTGTTGGCTTCTCATCTCCATATAAAAATCAGCTTTATTTTTGTGCGAGAAGAAAGCCCTTAGAACTTGGTACATTTAAAAATTGTATACAAATCCAGATATGATGGAGTGAATTTGTAATCCTTGTACTTGGGAGCGAGAGGCAAAAGACTGGGGAATCTTATCTCAGCTTAGGGTAAATTCAAGGGCAAGGGCATCCTGGGAAATGTAGTGAGAGTCAGTCTCAAAAAAAAATAAAAAAAAAAGAAAGAAAAGAAAACCAGTAACAAAAATCAAGGAAGGTTTAAGCTCTGTAAAGATGGCAGGTGTTTGATCTGCTTTGTGATCAACCAAGAGTCAGGGTATCAGTGATTGTCTCCATTGTTCTGGAAAACTGGAGAAAAGGAGAAATTACCCTCAGAGACAAAGAAGAGTTTTCAAAGTAGAGCTGGTCTGAAGCAATGCCTGGTCCAGGGAATGCTGGGCTGAAACCAACAGCAAGATGTAACTGCATTGGGAAGGTCCATTTGGAGATACCAACTGAAGCAGAGGACTACAGGAAGACGAGGAGGGGAGGAGGGCACTTCCCTCTCCTATTCATCACAACTCACCGAATCTAAAAGGCAGAAAGGATTCCTTCTTTTTAAACTGTCTATTCTCCAGAAAATGCTCTGGATTGAATGTGTCTGGTGTAGCTTACTCTTTGGGGTCCCTATGCAGTGTAGTCAAATTGGGGAGTATCACTGTTCCCTAGAGAAGGAAGGAAAGAGTCAATGCTTTATGCAAGGAACTCATTCATGCAGAAGCATTGTTTCTCTGGCTTCAATGCCAGGGCCTGCTCATATCCTGAACTCCCCTAGACTCCACTATCTTCATAGCTCAACACCCATGGACTCTACCTTTTGTGTAGGACAGCTTAGAATGGTGATTGGAAGTACCTACTGGGAATTTTGCCAGGGCAGTTAAGACTACTTTTTGCTGCAGAGAAAATTTTCTCCACAGAGACAGTATCATAGGTCTGGGAGGGGACATGTGAACCTCCTTGGGAATAATGTGGCAGGTGGTCAGTCCACACTGCACCAAAATCAGCCGCTTTTCTCAGTGAATTGAGATGCATGATAACTCTACAAAGGGAAAGGACATCTCCTTCACCTCTGTTTTTTCATTCCCTTCCATCTGGGGTGAACATTGTACCCAGTTGCCACCACAGGGATAGTAACACAGGCACATATGCAGAGAAAGAAACTGTGGTCCATGGCAAAATCCCCAGTGTCACCAGAGGAAGCCTTTTTCTCCCATTGCCTCATCCAACCAATCTTCTCTACATCTCTCTTGATTTCAGTCCCTTGATTCCTGTTTCCCACTGTTACCTTAGTGCAGGCACCTTGGACTCCTGTGATATCCTTGAGCTTTGTTCTACATCCTCTATTCCACAAACTGAAAGCAGAGTGTACTGTGAGCATCATTCAATCACAAAACATGGTCTACCTTCTCACACTTCAAACTCGGTGCTCTACAATTGCTTCCCATCTCTCCTAGTGTTAACTCTCATTATCTGACCCAGCAGGGCTACTCCCTCACTCTGTAGACTAGCACCATGGTACGTTAATGAAGAATAGTAACTGACATTGGGAATATAAAGCTTGGTATGTAAAATCTCATTTCACCTCCACATGGATTTCGTGATCTGGCTTTAAATTCATTGTACCGATGCAGAAGTTGAGGTTTTCACATTTTAACAGGATTGTCAAAGTAGAATTTACTACACTAAGCAGGGCAGGTCTCCCTAGTTCTGAGAGATGATCTACCAGGCAAAGGAAAGTGTTCTGTGGCAAAGTCTGACATAGAACTGCTGACTGCTCATGAGATTCACAGAGCACATTATGTCAGTAAGAATGCTGAGAAGTCCCACAGCACAAACACATAGTCTTTGCTTAAATATATTTAACCTGAAATATTTCATTCTCTACAGTATTAATAGCCAGGGAAATACATGGAGGAAAATTAGAATAGTGGCAGGAAAATATATCACTTTTTCACATTTAAGTGATTCATTAAGACAGGAATACCTATCACTTTTGACAAACTCAAAGTCAGGCTTAAGGATCTGAACCTGAGACTGCCTGGTTACTTGCAGCAGGTGATACCCAGCCAAAGTAGTATCCACTGTCACTTCCTTGGGAGCATCCAAGCAGAAGATGTTGCCCATTTTCTGCATCTCATGGATGACATCATTGGTATAGGCCAGTGACTCTTGGTCTGCCAGGCTTAGCTGCTTCCATTGGCCAATCACTCTATCAGTCTCAGCCTGTACTTTTTCTGGAAGAGAAGAGGAAGTTGTATTACTTTTAAGCTTGCAAGGTTTCTCCTAAAGATATAGGAGTGGTCTCTAGGATATCACCTGTTACGTTTCAAGTAGTGTACAAGTTACAAAGAAGTAAACTGGTCCTTAACCATTTAAAGTGATTATTTAGAGAACCATTGATTCTATGAATGGAATAACCAGGATCAACATGACCAAGCTCATAATGGGATCTTGTCTTATTCAGGCTGCTATAACAACGTGTCTTAACACTACATGGCTTGTAAATAACACAAATTTAGTTTTCATAGTTCTGGAACCTGGGAAGTCCAAAATCAATGCAACAGCAGAAACAGTACCTGGTGAGGACCCATAGCCAGGTTCCCAGATGCCACCTTTTGCCATTCCTCACACAGTGCAAGCAGCAAGGCATCTCTCTGGTACCTGTTTTATAAGCCCTCTCATGAGGGCTAATGACCTTCCAAAGACTCCACCTCTTAACACCATCAGACTGGTAATTAGATTTTAGCATTTGAATTTGGTGGCAAGGACACAAACAGGCAAGCTACAGCAGATCTATACATACTAGGAAATATATGAGTGGAAAGTGGATAGCAAACTTTTCTGTACAACATTGTTGTTATATATTATTTAAATCCTGTGAGGATTTTTCTCATTTTCATCATTGTTAGTGAGAATGAATCTTCTTCATCTTAAGGATGTTTTGAGATTTGTGTGAACTGATGTAATGATAAAAACAAGTGACAGAAAATGTTATCTGTCCTCCAACAGGTTTTTCCTCTTTCTCTAACATAATAGAGGTTTAAGCTGGATACTGGGTTGGCTGGTAAAACTGAATTTATCAAATTCCTTGTATGTGTGAGCAAATGACTAAGTTCCGATCAATAGACTGTAAGTAGAAGTGATGTTTCTTCTTTGGAGCATGCCTGCTTCCTTCTCTTTTTTCTCTTCCTGCAGGTAGAAAGGCAGCTGTTGTAATGGCCACCTTAGAGACTGCCAAGAAGGCCATCTTTTTAGACACAACAGAGCAACAAATTGGAAGGAGACTGAGACCTGAAGGGGTTTAAAGAGTCCAGGTTAGACATTTTTACCTAAGAGAGAAATGTCTATCATTCACCTTACCGTCTGTATAAAATTTTAATCAGAGTACACTACTGCTGGCAGAGTGGCTCAAGTGGTAGAGTGCCTGCCTAGCAAGTGTGAGGCCCTGAGTTCAAATCCCAGTACTGCCAAAAAAAAGTGGACTTAGAGTACTCTACATATAACATAAAATATACCATGTATAATTGTGGGGGGAGGTTTAAGGCTGGTTCTTCCTTTGTAACCATGGCTTGTTTCAAATTTGTAATCCTCCCATCATACTGCCTTGGCATCCTGAGGATTACAGGCCCATGTCACTCCCATAGCTCATCTTAGCAATTTTTTTCCTTTTATTCATTTATTCACATGTGCATACATTGTTTGGGTCACTTCTCCTCCTGTCCCCCGCTCTCACCCTTTCCCCCCTTCCCCCTCTTACTTCCAGGCAGAACCTCTTCTGCCCTTATCTCTAATTTTTTGGAAGAGAAGACATAAGCATAATATGAAAGACAAAGCATTTTCGCTGGTTGAGTTAAGAACAACTATACAGAGAGATTCCTAGCATTGCTTCCATGTACAAATGTATTACAACCCAGGTTGATTCATCTCTAACTGATCTGTACACTGGTTCCTGATTCCCTTCTGGTGTTGACCTCTGTTGCTTTTAGGTTTCTGTATTAGTTCCTCTAGTGATTCTTAATTGTACCCTTCATTGATATTAAATATGTTCATATGTTGTGCAAACACCGCAACTTTCTCATCTTGTAAAACTGAACCTCTATCTCCATTAAACAACTCCTCATTTCTCACTCTACCAGTCTTTCACCACTAGCAGTTTATCTTCTCTATAAATTGACTATTATAGATGACTCATTCCATTGGAATACTATAGCATCTGTGCTTTTATGAAACTTCCTCATTTAACTTAGGATAATGTCTTTGAGGTTGATATATGTTACAGCAAGTATGAGAATTTCATTCCTTTTTAGGCCTATAGTATTCCATTTCACATACACTCTACAATTTGCATTTTAATACTGGGCTGCTTCTACCTGTTGGCTACAGTACATATTGCTGCTATAAAAATGAATGTAAGCTTCTATCACTTTAATCCATTCATGTTGTGAAGCCTCTATTCCAAAAGCTGAATATATATTTAAACTCTTTAGCTTTTTCTAAAGTTAATCTTTAGGTATATTACATGACTTACCTGAACCAACATGTATGTACAAACATATAAAGCATGTATGTGTGCCTCTCTGTTTGCTTTAAATGAATTGTCATGAACAAATTTATCCTTAGTTACTGGGAAGTACTCTGACCTCTATTCAATTTTTAATCTATTTTTAAGGCAAAAATAGTTGGTCTTGATCTACTAAATTAATTTCTGCCTTATTAATAAATAGTTCCTCACAACTTAAACAACTGTACTATTAGAGTTTCCATTTTTGGTGAAGGGCAGAGATGTCATGACTTAGGGGCATGAATAAGGACAGTGTGAAGAGAATGACATGTAATTTAGCAAAGATATCATGCAGGGTGGGTGGGGTGAAAGCTAGACAGGTAGGCAGGGACACATATGGGGCATCCTATATCAGAACAAAGAGTTTGATCAGTTCCAGAGAAAAATGGGAAGGCAGTACTAAAAGGAAAGGAAGAACATGACTAGACTTTCATGTAAGAATGTTAACTTTTTTCTGGAACCTATCATAACCTCAATTAACTTCACTGTTTTCTCCCTTGACTTCTCAAGAGCAGGGACTATGTAATATTTGTGCCACTGGCACCCATCACCATCCTCATAGAAAATACGAAGAATGTTCCCATTCCCAAGTGCACATCACCTCATGTCTGTACTCCCTATCTTTCCACTCAAACACACTATCCTCTTACTCCGTGTATTCCAGGAATACCATGGTCCAGACACACTCACTGCATACTCACCTTGCACTTCTGGGTAGAGGGTCAGGTACAGCAGACCCCAGTGTGGCATCATAGATGTTGTCTCTGTTCCAGCTGTGAAGAGGTCCAGGGTGCGGAAAACGAGATTTTCTTCATGGAAACTTGAAGTAGTTTTGCCTTTGTGCCAGAAAGGATTGTGTGCATTGGTTCATGCAGAACATTTGTGGTTGCCACAATACATGGGGGCTTTATCATAGGAAAAGAATTTGGAAAGAAAGACCTGCAGGAGAAATGATTTCCTGCTTTGGCATCTGAAGGAAGCCAAATATTATGAGCATAGTCCTGTCCTGGAGGTTGGAGACTGAAAAAAGGCTTTCGCTTTTTACTTGTCAATGATGACAACTATTACAACTGTAATTTAGAAGAAGTAATTTGTACAGTAGAAAGAGAAAGAGATGTGAATGAGACAGACTTGGCTTCCAGTATCACCCATGTCACTTACTAGCTCTTCGATCTAGGCCAAGCCATTTCACATTTCTCTCCTTTAGGAACATGGAAATAGTACATGTTCCTGAAGAAGACATTTTCCATTATGTCAGATTTAGAAGGCACATAGTACAACAAATTTTTGTGCTGATACCAGAAAGAATAATGTAAATTCCTCTATGTACAACCATTCTATCTCCTTTTTAATCTTCTTTAGTTGAAACCCATGTTTCCATCAATCATTTCTTTTTAAATTCTATCATCTTTACCACCATTCTCTATAGCTTCAATTGGTCAGCAGTATTCTTAAATTTAGTGGTCTCAGGCAAGTGAAGTCTCCTCTGAAGAGGAAACACTGTTCATATTAATATGCCAGTAGGGAAAAGTAAGACAGAATTTGGAAGGAATTCACCATCCTGTCCCCTGCAAGAGGATGAATCCATAATATGATGAATCAAAGATTATGACACTGATCCAGTGTTGTTCATTGGCCAAAGGACTGAGCTCAAGGACATCCATCCAATTTGGCCACTTTCTGCTTTGCCTATAATGTTGGAAAGTAGGCGGTGGGGAGCAGGGGAAGTAAGAAACTCAACCTAGACCTTGAAGTTAAAACCAACTTTACTTGTGTTATGCAGTGGTAGTGGAAAGATAGATTAGTTAACTGGTCTCAGGCCCAACTAATAATAAATAGAGTTCTAAATCTCAATTATTATTACTCCCTGTGTATACACTTCTTCAGTTATGGATAAGAGGAAAAGGGTAGGGATGAAAAGACAGTATTTGGGCATTATAATGTTATAACGTCCTCAAAGCAAATGCTCATAAAACCTTATTTCTAAAGGCCTCAGCAATACTGAGTTAGTGCTACTCTGCATTTCAGAAATATCATGCCTATTTTTACTCCCCTGGGGTACTTTTAATAATAATCCACAAAGATATCCACACCCTAATACCTGGAACCTGAGCATGTTCCCTTATATGCCAAATAGGACTTGATAGATGTGATCAATTTAAGGATTTTGAGATGGAAGATTATTTTGAATTATTCTTATAAGAGTGAGGCAAAAGGATTAAATTCATTCAATGTCCTTCTTTGTGTGCTTAAATATAGCAGTCCTAGAACAGGATCATGGTTAGATGTGCACTGTTCTGTCCTCAGTGCTAAGCACACTGCTGGACACAGGAAAAAGACTTAGGTATATAATAAGTATCTCTTTAATGAATGCATGGGTCACAACTTCCTACACCGCCTATGAAAGTGCTCACCTCTCTCCTTTTCTATGGCCTCAATAAGGTACTGGGCCTCCTCCTGAATGCGCCACTCTAAGCTCTTCTTTCCTAAACCAAAGTTCCTTAGCATTGTCACAGTGAACCTTCTTTGCTCCTTCCATATCTGCCCATTAGACATGATCAATCCTGGGGTAAAGAACATCAAAATTATTGTATTCTGATTCTGGTACAAAAATACCTGATAAATAGTATGTAAACATTGATCAGAAAAGAGACCATAAAAGACTTGAAAACTGGTCAAAGAAATAATGTCTATGTACATATGAACTAACATTTACCGAGAACTTGCAATATCTGGCATTTTAGTAAGTATCTTTTATGTTACATAATTTCATACCCACAAATCTCTTCAGGTTTATTACCACTTCTATGCACATTTCCCTGGTGGGAAAAGTGAGGAAAGGGATTAAAGAATAATGAGAACTTCACAAGGACACATAGTTAGTAAATATCTAACCAGGTGTTCAAATATCTCCCTGATTCCAAAGCCCACGCTTTGATTAGTTAACCACATAAGTATAGCTAATTCTTTAGCTAAATTCTAGGGATACATTCATGGAAGAGCTGAGGTCCTTACCCTTAAGAAGCAAGGAAAGCCTTTACAGGAGAGTTCTATACAAGGAGGGCCTTAAAAGATGAAGAAATGACTCAAGAAAGTAAGAAGGATGAATATCTCATACAGAAAGAACGAAAGAGGAGAGAGGAAGAATACCTTGGTGTGCTCTGAAGACCCTAATTTTTCTTAATGGCACAGGTAATGACAGACTCCTGTCCATTTCTTCAGCTTGAGAGCATTCCCCAACACCTGTAAACAGTTTCCCTACCCTGAAAAATCTCAATTAAATTGCCTTCCTTGTCAAATCCAGGGAGACCTTTCCACCTCACAACATATTCTTGTTTAATAAAAATAGATATTTCTTTCTTGAAACAATCCTTTCCAGTTGAGCTCAGGATCCCACACAGCCATATTTTCTCCCTAATCCTCTGCCACCCAACTTCTCATATTTCTGCTGGTTTGTTTTCTTCCACAATTCTTGAAATGGTGGAGTTCTTCAAGTTTTAAGTCTAAAACTTCCTCTCTTCTCAACCCAAATTCTATTTCTGGAAACTTTCAACTAATACAATTTTAAATAATATCTACTGATAGTCAATGTCTGTCTGTCACTGAGCTCCAGACCCATATATACAACAATTGCTTAACTCTGGTAACATAAAGGCACTTCAGACTTTGCATACCATGATTTTGTCCATATAATTCCCCACACAGGCAAACCCAACCAAACTCCTTGTCTTCTTCTCAGTGTTCTCCTTTCCAACATCTACACCTCAATTCTCACTCTTCCTACATCTAGGTCCTCATGTCTTAATAGTTCTACCTTAAGAATACCTTATTTTATGTACATTACCTGTCACGATCCTGGTATAATGTGTTGTCATTTTTTGCCACAGCATTAAACTAAGCCATGAAATTTCATAACATAAAATAATACAAAGGTTTCCTGTTGTCTTTATTCTATTCCCTGTACAGAATACTAGGAGAGTTTAAAATATGTATTGTGCATGATTTTCTTCTCCACTTAAAACCATTCAAAAGCTTCTATTGCCATTAAGGCAAAAAGCAACAACCTCAACAAGAACTTGCATGGGCTCCTCTTGCATGGCCAAGCTCAGTAGTTTCCTCTGCATTTCATTCTCACCTTTAAGTCCTGTACTTGTAAGGTGGACACCTTTCAGTTCCTCAAAGTGCCTGTCCTTCTTAGGTCAGAGTCTTCATGTTCTATTCAATTTGACTGTGTCCTCACTTTATTGAATTAATTGTCTTTTACTTAATTTGTGTTCTAGAATCCCAGAACATACTTAGGTTCTTCTGAAAAGTAATTTCTACACTTTTCAGAACATTACAGGGCTTTAATTGTTATCAGTTAACTGATAATGGTCTTTCTCCCAATATAGAGTATGTGTTCATAAGGACGTGGATTTTATTCATCCTACTCACTATTATGTCACTCACACATAAGTCTGTGCTTCACATGACATACAATACAAGGAACAGATGTAGAATTAACTGATGCAATATTTTAAAAAATGAATTGGGGTCCATCTGTAAATGGTACTTGGTATACATCTCCAATCCAGTTACATAGGAAGCCAAATGTGGGAGGATCCCAGTTTGAGGCCATCTCTGGGCAAAAACATGAGAACATATTTGAAAAATATCTAAAAAGTAAGAAAGGGCTAGGGTCTTGGGTCAAGTGGTAGAGCATCTGCTTAGCAAGGTTCTGAATCCAAACCCCAGTACTGAAAAAAACATAGTGCTTGGTTAGATGATCAGATTTGAAGTTTTGTTATCAACTTTTCAAAGTGTGAGTTTGCTTAATAATAATTATAGGTATTTATGCCAATCTATCCTACATGGACTGTAAGGCTAAACATACCCTGTGTGACAAGGCCTTAATGATAGAAAATAAGGAGCTAGAGGCAAAAAGAGGCAGAAGCAAAAGGCACAATACTCACATCCATTTTCCTAAGAGAAGACACTTGAAATGGAAAAACAGAAAGCGAACACAGTGTGTCCTCCTAGCTATAACTGGGTGATATGGCTACCTCCTTATCAAAGCAAACAGAGCTTGGAATTTGTGGAGCACATGCAATTTCTCTCAAATTTCTACAAGGCTGACACTGCTAAATCCTCTGAGAGTGCTTTCAGTCAGGAAATGTGGACATCCAGCTTCCTTTAGGAGCAGGCATTTCATAATGAGGCTGATTTCTGAGAGGGTTGGAAAACTAAACACAAGGACAACTTTACCAGATGATAAAATTTCAATCACATACCTTGGGGTGATGAAGAAAGTTGCCATATTTACTAAAGGTATGTTCTCTCATAGGAGTGATGAGGTGGTTTAGAAAGTTCTGTTCCATGTGAGCACAGATTTCTTTGATTACAAGCAGTCCAGTTATAACTGCTGAAGGTAAGACATCCAACTCCAGGCTAAAAAGTTTCCCATATTTCTTTGCAAACTGAGAAATAGTAAAAAAAAAAAAAAAAGTTGAGTGTGCATGTTTGTATGTTCAGAGATGGCAGATAAGTGTGTGACTAAAGAGGCTCATATTGAGGGGAGTCTGCTTGTTCACGTGTGTGTTGAGGGATGCACCCTACTCTGATGGGAATGTTTTCTCCTTCTTTCCACTAAACTCAAAATCAGTTCACTTCAGAATTAGAAGTTTCCTTATGAAGCATTCATTCCTATATTTAATCAATATGAATGGATTTAGCAGCTACCATTGTCCTAAGAACAAGGTGTGAGGATATAAGTACACAAAATATCTAGGTCTCTAACTTTAAGCATTCTAATGTGTAGTGAAGGCAGAGAATACAGCATATCTGACGTGCCAAGAAATGGGAAGTATGTTTGTGAAAATGTGGTAGAGCAAGTCTGGACGTCTTAACAAATCAAAGTATCTGTTTAGCCAGAGGAGAACGTCCCCTCCTCAACACTTGCTAGATATGGAAAGTGCAGTAAAGTGGAGCAATACAGTGAAGACATACAGAGAAATCACTGTATTTCTGTAGCTTTGTGAGCATATGTGACTCTGTGATTCACTAGCTGTAGCCTCTTTGGGACATTGTGTTACTCTTTGATCATCAGGTCCTCAGCTTTGAAAGAGAAAATTATTCCTCTATCAAATGATTCTGTGAGGAAGAATGAGAGCAGCCACGTTAAAGGTACTTTGTTTTCTGATTCCAGGTACACAGCCACCTACTGTATCTCCAATGAACAAATAAGCTTTATGTGAAAACAAGATAGTCCTACACTGAAGTTGAAAATGAGGATTGAAGCACATCAAGGTGCAAGGGGAAGACACTCATGATCACAGACAGCCAACCTCACTGGTTGCCATGTTAGGCATCTTTCATTAACCTTATAACTAGTTTATAATGATAAAGGTTTTCCTCATTTTCAGAAAGGAAAATGAGTTGTAGCTGAAGTAAAGTAGCCCAGTGGCAAAGTTGTTTTTTCTGGTAGAAAGGAATTTTCCATACATTTTGTGAGATTTGAGGACAAAGATGTGTGCATGAGAAGTCCCTGGGACCTCAGAGTTTAGTGGAAGTGAGGGAGTAGATGTGGGAATGACAGGAGGGTGAGAGTCTTGGTGGGAGGGAGAAGAGGGATAGAGAATGGAAGAGTGTGTCCAGAGAGAGGTGCAATTTTGTGCAAATAAGAAACAAATGACAGTGTTTTATTGGTAATCAAAGATCCTTTCAGCCTATCTGTTCAAGCAACAGACCAGAGTCAACTCTACCTCTGCCTTTTGTCCACCTGGACCTTGTCTAGTGGCATCTATGGTATCAAACAGAAGAGGTTTAGTTCCTCCAGGTGTTTCTGGTCCTCCTCCCCATATCCATTCCCATGCATTCATACCCCTTATGTTGCTCTTAGATCCTTGAACCTAAGAGGACCCATAAGAAGAGAAAATGGATTTGGTTTCTTCTCACCATCCTCTACTCATTAAACACCAAGTGTAAACTTGCTGCCTACTCTCTCTCTCTCTCTTTCTCTCTCTCTCTCTCTCCTCTTTTTCTGTTTGAAAGTTTGAAGTGAGTTTGAACTAGGGCTTTGTGATTGCTAGACAGGGGATCTACCTCCTGATTCATGCCTTTAGTCCCTTTTCTCTTGTTATGTTGGAGATAGGGTCTTGCTTTTTGCTCAGGTCAGCTCAGACAGTGATTCTCCTATTTCTATACTTTCTTCTTTCACTGGGATGTCAGCTATGTGCCAGCATGCCCAGCTTTTTTCTGTTGTGATAGGTTCTTGTAAACTTTTTTTTGCCTGGGGCTGGCCTGGTTGGAACCACAATGCTCTCAATATCTGCCTCTGGCATAGTTTGGGATTACTTTTGTCTTTTGACACAAAGTCCTCTGTTAATTTCAACTCTGGAATATGTTGGCCTGTCTTACTAATAAGCAGAGCTGAAAAGTATATGCCCTTTCTTTTATGAAACTGCAATGATGGATCCATACAAATTGAGCAAAAGTTTAATTCATCTTGAATGGCTGGATGAATTTTTGAGTTCTCACATGTAGGACTTATTTAGTGACTGATTTAGTGACTGCCATAAAGATGTTTTGGGAATAGCTGATGATCTCATACTAAGTTAAATGACTCCTAACTGGCATCCAAAATTCAGCCTTCCATCTGTACTGTTCTCTGCTCATGTATATTTCTAGCTCAACAGAACTGGATCAAAAACCTTTATGCTGCTATGAGCCCAGTATACATGGATGGGTCAAATAACATCCTAGAATCCTAGTCTAACAATTCTGAAATGCACTAGGTCTATCTGACCATTGCTTTATATAGATTAAATAAATAACTTAGAGTATACCTGAGAAGATTTCATAAGGAAGAGAATATTTACCAATGTTCATCTGATCATCTCAATAAATACAGAAAAGCCTTCCACAAAATTCAACAATCTTTCATAATAAAAGCTCTGATGAAATTAGGATTAAGAGGAATGTACCTCAACATAATAAAGATGATGTATGACTAGCCTACAGCCAACATCATACTAAATGAGGAAAACCTTAAGCCATTTTCTCTAAAATCAGGAACAAAACAAGGGTGTCCACTTTCTCCACTGTAATTCAATATAGTCTTAGAATCCCTAGCCAGAGCAATAAGACAGGAAGAAGAAATAAAAGGAATTCAAATTGGAAAAGAAGAAGTCAAATTATTCCTATTTGCAGTTGAGAAAGATGTTATACTTAAAAGACCAAAAAAATTCCACCAAAGAACTCCTTGTCATCATAAACACCTTCATCAAAGTAGAAGGATATGAAATCAATTTACAAAACTCAGTTAGCCTTTCTATATACCAACAATGAACAGACTGAGAAAGAATATAAGAAACAATTCCATTAACAATAGCCTCGAAAAAGCAAAATACCTAGGAATGAACTTAACAAAGAAAGTGAAAGACCTCTACAATGAAAACTATAAACTACTGAATAAAGAAATGAAAGAAGACAGAAGACTGAAAGATTTCTCATGTTCATGGATTGGCAGAATCAATATCATGAAAACAGCTATATTACCAAAAGCAATTGATATGGTTAATGCAATCCCCATCAAAATTACAATGACATTTATAACAAAGACTGAAAAATCAACCCTAAAGTTCATTTGGAAGCACAAAAGACTGCAAATAGGACAATACTGTTGCATAAAGTGCAATGTTGGAGGTTTCACAATACCTGACATCAAACTATACTACAGAGTTATAACAATAAAAACAGCAATTGTACTGGCACAAAAACAGACATGAAGACCAATGGAACAGAATAGAAGACCAAGATATGAGTCCATGCATCTACACCCACCTGATTTTGACAAAGGCACCCAAAACATACGATGGAGAATAGACAATCTCTTCAACAGATGTTGCTGGGGAAACTGGATATCTGCAAGCATAAAACTGAAACTGAAAGATCCATGTCTTTCACCCTGTACAAATATCAATGCAAAGTGGATTAAAGATCTTAATATAAGACCTGAAACTTTGAAGTTAGTGCAGGAAAGAGTAAGGAATACACTGGAACTTATAGGCATAGACAATAACTTCTTAAATAGAAGTCCAATGGCTTAGCAACTCAGAGAAAGCATTGACAAATGGCACTACATGAAACTAAAAAGCTTTTGTACAACAAAAGAAATGGTCAGTAGACTGTAGAAGTAGTATACAAAAGGGAGAAAATCTTTGTCAGCTATAATCTGATGAGGGATTAATATACAAGGAGTTAAAAAAACTAAACTCCCCCCAAAATCGATGACCCAGTGAAGAAATGAGCAGAAGAACTGAACAGAGCTTTTTCAAAGGAAGACGTCCAAATGGTCAAAACAAAACAAAACAAAAACTATGTGAAGAAATGCTCATCTCTGGCCATAAAGGAAATGCAAATCAAAACCACATTAAAATTCCACCTTCCTCCTCACTCTGGTTGGAATAGCTATTATCAAAACCACAAACAACAACACATATTGGCAAGGATGTGAAGAAAAAAGAACCCTCACACACTGCTGGTGGGAATGTAAATTAGTACAATGACTAGGGAAAACAGTATGGAGGCTCCTCAAAAAACTAAAATAGAACTGCCATATGATCCAACAATACCACTCCTAGGGATATACCCAAAGGAATGTAAGTCATGTTACAATAGACACTTGCACACCCATGTTTATTGCAGCATTATTCACAGTAGCCAAGCTATGGAAACAGTCAAGATGTCCATCACTAATGAATGGATTAAGAAAGTGTGTTATTTATGTGCCATGGAATTTTATTCAGCCCATAAAGAATGAAATTTTTTCACTTGCAGGTAAATGGATGGAACTGGAGAACATCATCTTAAGTGAAGTTAGCCAGGTTCAGAAGGCCAAAAGTTGCATGTTTTCTCTCATAGGTAGGCCCAATACAAGTACAAGAAATATTGTATATACATATAAATATATAGAGAGCATTTATCCAAAAGTGAGACTGGTAGAGTAGACCAAGGGAGGAAGAAAAGAAGTAAAAAAAGTGAACAATAATGAAATAGATCACGTCTGTGTAGGAACAAGACACAACAAAACACACTGAAAACTGTTAAGTAACACAGTATAGAGGAAAAAGGGTGAGGAAGTGCAAAGGAGGGGGTTACATATACCTAAGCACAATGCATGTGCAGGTATAATGGAAAGGCAAAAATCCCAGTGAACAATGAACAGACACTTAAAAAATGAAGGACAAGAATGAAAAGCAGGGAGGGCACTAGTGGGAGAGGGAGGATAAAAGAAGGAAGTTGATGTACTTTCTGTACAAGAATGTATAGAATTTTTAACCTGTTGAAATCAGTATAAGAAGAGGACTAAGTTAGGAGAAAAATGGAGGGGATGAACCAGTTTGGGTTCTAATACATGTATATATATGGAAATGTCATAATAAGACTCCATGTACAGATATCTTAAACAAACAAAAATATCTTATATAAAAAATGGAAGGAGGGAAGGTAAAACTGGTCCTCTCTGGGGGCTGGTACCAGTGGGAGGGGGGAGGATATAAAGGAAATGTGTAGAAGGGTGAATGTGGTGGGAATATTATGTATTCATGTATGAAAA